AAATTTAGAAAAGTAATCAAATATAATCAGTTACATTACTTTAATAAAGTAATTGAAATAGTTACACTACGTGTTACATTTTAAATAGGGTAACTTGTAATCTGTAACCTAAGGCCTATTACATTTCCAAAGTAACCTTCCCAACACTGTGTATAAAGAACTGTATTGTAAAGTGTTAAAAAAGTCTGAATAAACAGGAAGGTGGTAGACCACAACAGATGCTCAATCTTTGCTTGCACCAACCTCTTGTACAGAATTGTTGCTTGATGGACTCTTGACTGTTTTTGTCCTTGGGCTTCATGTTGAGATGCAGTCGGTGACTGTTGCCCCTGTGCATGGCTGGGGTGTGCTTCAGGATATAATCATTCCCATGCTTAAAAGTGACATGACATGTGGCCAAGTATGGTGACCCATACTTGGAATTAGTGCTCTGCATTTAACCCATCCAAAGTTCACACACACAGCAGTGAACACACACACACACACACACACACACCGTGAACACACACCCGGAGCAGTGGGCAGCCATTTATGCTGCGGCCCCCGGGGAGCAGTTGGGGGTTTGGTGCCTTGCTCAAAGGCACCTCAGTCGTGGTATTGAAGGTGGGAGAGAGCGGTGTACATTCACTCCCCCCACCTACAATCCCTGCGGTACGAGACTCGAACCCGCAACCTTTGGGTTACAAGTCCGACTCTCTAACCATTAGGCTACGACTTCTGTACAATCTGTCGATATCACAATGAAAACATTAGCTTGTGAACAGTAAGAACAGGGGGGTATTCCAAAAAGCAGGTTATGTGACATACCCAGAGTTCTCAGATACTCCTTTATTAAATTGACTTACTATGGCTCACTGGAAAACTTGATTCTGACTGGTCGCTTACAGCATTTTGTGGTCAAATATATTTGTATAATAATGACTCTTAAACTTAACTGACCGGTTTCCTAGGCAATCCATTTCCTGCAATTTAATAAAATAAACTCATTATTTCAGTAACGCTTTTTAATAAGGTTTAATTTCTTAATAATGTTAACAACTAAAATCTTATTGTAAAGTGAATCCAGTACTTCACGTACATTTATGTATGTATCTATGTATGTATTTATTTGCTGAGTAGCTGCTTAATTAGTGGGATAATGTACATTAACCCAATAAAGCCAAATCTATCATATATGATATGCAAATTTCTAAGGCCTCTAAATTATCAGCATGATCAAAATTGAAAAACGTGTTGTGCACAATCTACAACATGCTTTCTGTCGTATGATTGATACTTTTTCAGCAGGTAAAAGGAATGTAGTATAATTCTAAAAATGTCCCCCCTCAGGTCATGATATATCTGTCTTTCTGATTTTTTTGATAAAATGATTTTTTTATAAGGTAAACACTAAGAATAACTTTCACATTGTTAGTAATATTTCAAGATGAACACTTACTGGACTGAATCAACTTAGGTTTACTTGATTATCCATTCAAAATTAAATAGATATTTTAGACTATTTTTTATATGTCAGGTGTGTTGATATCCAGCCGAAGAGCAATCAACCATAACTTCAGGGGTAAGCAGATAAACATCACTGTGAACTATTTGAACTATCCCTTTAACAGGGTAAAATCAAATAAGGCAGGGTGATCAGGACACTGACACAAAGTAAGGTGACAAACATTTTCAAATTTACATGGCATGACAAAAAAACACTTGCTTCCAGGTCTGGCATTACCCCAGCCGTGTATTACGGCTTCTGTACTCCTGCCCTTCTCAGTGTGCTCAACAGGGAACTCCCCACTCTGACGTTGCGTCAGCACTGACGCTGGGACACTGTGCACTGGTTCCCTCCCCACTCTGACGTTGCGTCAGCACTGACACTAGGACTCTGTGCACTGGTTCTCTCCCCATTCTGACGTTGCATCAGCACTGACGCTGGGACTCTGTGCACTGGTTCTCTCCCCACTCTGACGTTGCGTCAGCACTGACGCTGGGACTCTGTGCACTGGTTCTCTCCCCACTCTGACGTTGCGTCAGCACTGACGCTGGGACTCTGTGCACTGGTTCTCTCCCCACTCTGACGTTGCGTCAGCACTGACGCTGGGACTCTGTGCACTGGTTCTCTCCCCACTCTGACGTTGCGTCAGCACTGACGCTGGGACTCTGTGCACTGGTTCTCTCCCCACTCTGACGTTGCGTCAGCACTGACGCTGGGACTCTGTGCACTGGTTCTCTCCCCACTCTGACGTTGCGTCAGCACTGACGCTGGGACTCTGTGCACTGGTTCTCTCCCCACTCTGACGTTGCGTCAGCACTGACGCTGGGACTCTGTGCACTGGTTCTCTCCCCACTCTGACGTTGCGTCAGCACTGACGCTGGGACTCTGTGCACTGGTTCTCTCCCCACTCTGACGTTGCGTCAGCACTGACGCTGGGACTCTGTGCACTGGTTCTCTCCCCACTCTGACGTTGCGTCAGCACTGACGCTGGGACTCTGTGCACTGGTTCTCTCCCCACTCTGACGTTGCGTCAGCACTGACGCTGGGACTCTGTGCACTGGTTCTCTCCCCACTCTGACGTTGCGTCAGCACTGACGCTGGGACTCTGTGCACTGGTTCTCTCCCCACTCTGACGTTGCGTCAGCACTGACGCTGGGACTCTGTGCACTGGTTCTCTCCCCACTCTGACGTTGCGTCAGCACTGACGCTGGGACTCTGTGCACTGGTTCTCTCCCCACTCTGACGTTGCGTCAGCACTGACGCTGGGACTCTGTGCACTGGTTCTCTCCCCACTCTGACGTTGCGTCAGCACTGACGCTGGGACTCTGTGCACTGGTTCTCTCCCCACTCTGACGTTGCGTCAGCACTGACGCTGGGACTCTGTGCACTGGTTCTCTCCCCACTCTGACGTTGCGTCAGCACTGACGCTGGGACTCTGTGCACTGGTTCTCTCCCCACTCTGACGTTGCGTCAGCACTGACGCTGGGACTCTGTGCACTGGTTCTCTCCCCACTCTGACGTTGCGTCAGCACTGACGCTGGGACTCTGTGCACTGGTTCTCTCCCCACTCTGACGTTGCGTCAGCACTGACGCTGGGACTCTGTGCACTGGTTCTCTCCCCACTCTGACGTTGCGTCAGCACTGACGCTGGGACTCTGTGCACTGGTTCTCTCCCCACTCTGACGTTGCGTCAGCACTGACGCTGGGACTCTGTGCACTGGTTCTCTCCCCACTCTGACGTTGCGTCAGCACTGACGCTGGGACTCTGTGCACTGGTTCTCTCCCCACTCTGACGTTGCGTCAGCACTGACGCTGGGACTCTGTGCACTGGTTCTCTCCCCACTCTGACGTTGCGTCAGCACTGACGCTGGGACTCTGTGCACTGGTTCTCTCCCCACTCTGACGTTGCGTCAGCACTGACGCTGGGACTCTGTGCACTGGTTCTCTCCCCACTCTGACGTTGCGTCAGCACTGACGCTGGGACTCTGTGCACTGGTTCTCTCCCCACTCTGACGTTGCGTCAGCACTGACGCTGGGACTCTGTGCACTGGTTCTCTCCCCACTCTGACGTTGCGTCAGCACTGACGCTGGGACTCTGTGCACTGGTTCTCTCCCCACTCTGACGTTGCGTCAGCACTGACGCTGGGACTCTGTGCACTGGTTCTCTCCCCACTCTGACGTTGCGTCAGCACTGACGCTGGGACTCTGTGCACTGGTTCTCTCCCCACTCTGACGTTGCGTCAGCACTGACGCTGGGACTCTGTGCACTGGTTCTCTCCCCACTCTGACGTTGCGTCAGCACTGACGCTGGGACTCTGTGCACTGGTTCTCTCCCCACTCTGACGTTGCGTCAGCACTGACGCTGGGACTCTGTGCACTGGTTCTCTCCCCACTCTGACGTTGCGTCAGCACTGACGCTGGGACTCTGTGCACTGGTTCTCTCCCCACTCTGACGTTGCGTCAGCACTGACGCTGGGACTCTGTGCACTGGTTCTCTCCCCACTCTGACGTTGCATCAGCACTGACACTAGGACTCGGTGCACTGGTTTTCTCCCCATTCTGACGTTGCATCAGCACTGACACTGGGACTCTGTGTGCTGGTTCTCTCCCCACTCTGACGTTGCGTCAGCACTGACACTAGGACTCTGTGCGCTGGTTCTCTCCCCACTCTGACGTTGCGTCAGCACTGACACTAGGACTCTGTGCGCTGGTTCTCTCCCCACCTTACCCTCTCTGTCTAGTGGAGCGTCTGGATGCTCGTTTGGACTGCCCCCCTCTTCCGGTCTATATCCTCCACCCTGGATTAAGGCTCCTGGCCTTCTGCCCCAGCCGTGTTTTGTGTTTTTGAGACTTTAATAAACTTTTGAGTTGAACCTGCAATTGAACACGTACACACACATATGGCCTACAATAAGTATTTTGACACTTGAGCCACAGTTGAAATTTTTACGTCTTTGCCTTATATATCAAAATTTCAAGCCCAGTGGCATATATTTTAAAGAAATACAGCACAAGAACACTTTTCAGTCATTTTTTTTTTAAAATATTTATTTTGTTTTGATCTAATTCTTACAGTAAAATTGTTTTGATCTAACTCTTACTTTTGTGCAAATTGTGATATATTTTTTCAAGATTCTTTTGTGAATAGAGAGTTCGAAAGAATGGCACCTATTTGAAAAAGAAATATTTTATAACAATATAATCTTTGGATCCATTTAATGCATCCTTGCTAAATAAAATAATTTTTGAATTATTCTCAGACTTAATGCTGACAAAAATGGAACCACTTTTGAGAGATATATCAGGAAGCTTATTTCTTTGCACAAAAGAGGACAGTGGTACAAGAGGAATACCAAATCATTGTTTTAAGTGTGAAAATATAGCTAAAGCAATAGAAATTCAAAAACAATAGACTTGTGGCAAGGTCCCTGAAATAAGGGCCTTCATATTTATCTTTTGTTTTATGGAGTGTTTTATTTATTTATTTTGCTGAGAAAAGAGCAGGGGCCTGTACCATGATGGTAGTTTAACAAACTCAGGGTTATAGGATCGGTTTCGAGTTGTCAAAAACCAAACCACTCCAATCCGGCTTTGTTGGTACCATGATGCAGATCATCAATTTTCTGTCAACTCAGGCTTTGATCCTGAGTTTGTGGAGCGTGTGCATGAGAATGTGTGACATCAGTGGCGAACAGCCAATCACATCAGAACATCACTTGGCCCAGAGCAAGTTACTATGAACGCCGCTAAAAGCCAAGCCACTTTCATGGTACCTAAAACCCAGGATTGGCACAAACTAATCTGAAACTTGCCTGGCTAGCCAGCTAATCTGGCTTCATAGTATAGGTCCCAGGAAAAATACCAAGCAAGTGTCTCAGAGCAGGCAAAAGCTATAAAAAGAGTGAATGTTTCATCTCACACAGTAAGATGCAACATGCAGAAGTGAAGTGCAATGTAGTGGTTAAAATGTGTGAGGCCCTGGATGCCTGATAGCTTTGCTTAGGGCCCTAAAAATGGTAATCCCACCGCTGGTTGTTATCCACACTTGGACTACCTACTGTAGCCAAAGCACAATAAACTCATTAAGCCTTCTCCAAATCATTTATTTAAAAAATATATAAACTTCTGGGAATGGGATGCATGAGTGCTGAATGTGTGGGAGAGAGTTGTGCTTTATCAATAGACACACACACACATATATATATATATAGTGATTGCTGCTATAGGGTTTTAGCTTTAATTGAGCTTGATTTTACCTTTGATGTATTCTTTCTCCAGGACTTTGGGAGGTACAAGGACAATTTTTGCTCCAGATCCAGAAACAGGGGTTGATTGTCTGAATGAAATGGAATGAAAAGGCTACCTTGGTTTAGACAAACAGAGCTGTCACTCCCTTCATTCTTGTTATTTGCAAAGCTCAGCGAAACTCAGATGCAGTAGCTCAGACAGCTGGTTGAACACATCTTGACCTCTGTCTTTAAGCTGTAATACAGACATGTTAAACAGTAAGAAAAGCAACACAGAAAAGAAAATAGCCAGTTCAGGCTGTATTTAAGCAGTGCTGTAACTTAAACTCTGAAATCTTGAATACATTTCAGAAATCTGACAAAATATATGGAAAGATTTTATAACATCGAACATCAATCATACAGTATTTTCTTACTTACTTTCTTACAAACGCAAAAGAGGCTTTAACTCTTAAAGTGGCACTCCATGTCAGATATTCAGATATCATTGTGATATTATAAAGTATATAAACATTTTACTCACTCCAGCAGTCATGCTTTGTTATTGGGCAGAATAACACTCAGACCTCTGCTTTGGTTCTTCAGTGTGGATGTGCTCTCTTTGAGGTCCTCTTCTTCAGCACCCTCCTTAAATTGTTGCCGTCGCTGTGGGCAGAGTTCGTGTCTATCTCTCTTTAATGTCCTCCATTTTAAACTCTGTATGTTTATATTCCCTGCTGGGAAAAAAATCGGCTTAAACGAGCCCAAATGGCTTTCCAATATTAGCTGGTCTTACAGCCTTGTTGGTTTTAGAGGATTTCTAGGAACTCGCAAGTCACAACAGTGCATGGAAATTCTTCACAGTAATAAAGAAACTGTGACCTCACTTTTTCAATATTATGTAATAAAACAGGGTTCCCCAAACTTTTTTTTTTTAAAGGGGTAATAAACTGAGTAATCAAATTTCCCTTGATCTTTTGACATATAACAGGTCAATGTAGGGGTAGATTAGTGTAATGGCGTCCGGTGTAAACACGGGGCAAAATTAGCAAAGAGCTCCAGATCGCATCAGTGAAACACTGTTTGTTTGCTTTACTTTACTACAGATTCATTTTTAAACAAGACAGTATGATGCAGGCTTTTCAGAGATCTCAGTATTTTAGCCTAAAAATATACAACAATAAAATGTGAATTTTCGGACAGGTTTTCAAGACTTCTGCATGTACATTGCACAATATTGTGTGATCACAACATTTAGTTATGGTCAAGTCTGAATTTTGGTGCATTAAAAAAAAGTACATTTTGCTTAGATTTAAAAAGAAATTAAGTCCACTATTTGTTAACATTCATTTATTTCATAGTATCTGCAACAGTGCATGAAAATGAGTTAAAAAGAAAGTATGACCTTACTTTTTCAATATGTAATAAAACAGGGATTCCCAAACTTTCCCAAAGGGGTCATGAACTGAGAAATCAAATTTCCCGTGATATTTTGACATATAACAGGTCAACATCCTGTAAGTTTCAAAACTCAAAACTTTCTTGTTAGTTTAAAAACAGCTTTTATTGAAAATAAGCTCAGAAAATGACTTGTTTTGGAATGTGCCGTTTTATGACATAATAGTGTGGCTTAGTATGTTTTGATTTTTATTTATTTATCGTTTTATTTTACATTTTCATTATTTAATTATTAGCTTTTCATCATCTTGCAAACCAGTTTGGGAAACCTTGCACTAAATGACATCACTCAGACAACAGACAAAAATATTATAAACGTATATGTATGTATATATATATACACACATATATATATATATATATGTGTGTGTGTGTGTGTGTGTATTATAAATGTATATATTTAAGTATGTGTATTTATACACACACACACACACACACACACACAAAACATAAAGCCTTTCTGTCTGTACATTTGCAGTGAACAGAGTATGATTTAGTAAACTCCCCAATCCCACAAGACAACTGTGGGATTCAAACTAAATTGTATACATGGCTAATTAAAAATGTTGAGGAAAACATACATTATTTGATGTGAGAACATTAAATGTGACTGCCTTAATCTTTGTTTTCTCAGATAGATTTAAAACAACACCTCACATCTATATTGTTCACAGCACAAAAGGGATCTATTGATCGACTTCACATGGGATGAGAGTACATGACTGCAATAATGGACAGGCAACTAATAAAAAAACGCCTTATTGCTGTCTGCTGGGAGAGAGAAATGCATATGGCTGTTTATATTCAAGTGAATTTCAAATATACAATCTTCAGTGCTGATTGAACACATTCACACAATGTAGAGAAGAGTTAGGAATCACACACTTGCTCTATTATTCTGACTCCCTCAAAATGTTGGCTATATTCCAAAAAGCATACTATTGCTGCATTATATGGTATGAATGCTCTATGCATAATATGCATAAATTACAACTGTACACTTTTATACTATGGACTGAGGTGGGTCAGAGCAGGTATCATTTAGTCTGGCTTTCATTCTGCATTACACCTTTACACAGAATTTTGAGCAGCCTTAATTCAGCTGTGTAAAGATGGATTAAGAGAGTTTACGACGTGAAGCGCTGCATCTCACGATGCAATGTGCTTGACCTTGCGTTACAAGTATCAAATGAATAGTAAATAATATCAGTTGTGATTTTTAATATTTCTTGATTCATCATTTGATTAATTTTAAAAACGCAATTAATTTTCCAATTTATCATGCAACATGATAAAATAATTTTTAAAATGTGGAATTGAATCCCAACTGATTCAAATTACAGGAAGTATGCAGTACATACTGCACAGTATTTATTAAGTAGTAAGCTATTATTCCATTCAAAACAGACGTTTAATTGCAATTTAAAGCTGAATATTTGCGGCCATATTGACACACACAACTATTTTGTGCAAACTGTTCAAATATGCCTTGAGTATCTGAAACCTTCACAGCTTTGATTCAGTCTCTAAAACACTTTCAATGTCACTTCAAATCTAATATACAACTTAGCAGTTTGAGCTGCTCAGGTAACTCGTGACATAAGTAAGCTTATATATTCTACCAGGGCTGTACCAGGGACCAATGAATTTCCCTCACTTTTCCAGTAGTTCAAGATTATTGGATAAGGACTTAATGACAACATAGATAAACAGCATAGAGCAGATCGTAACTGATTTGATATGCAAAGAAATCCACAATTTCCCAAGCCCAGGAGCTCACAGCCTTAAAACCAGTGGATCCTTTCAGATTTTTCCAAGATCGTGGAAACAGCCTTTATCTTTTTTAATCAAAGTCTCTCGGTAGCCTACGCAAAGTGTGCATGCCTGCCAACTACATTCTTGCACAGTAAAAACAGGTCCATTGCATGGCAACGTCTAGAGGCTGACGCACAAAAGAGTTTTCTTCAAGGACTTGTCAAAACAAGCATGGGGTCATAGTCGGGATAATACAAAACACATGACAAATGAAGTTGGAAATGATAAATCAGCAGAAAAGGCTTTCTAAAGAGCAGATAATAAAAACGGAATGAAGATGGGGTAAAGTAAATTGCAGTTTTGGGACATTACAGGGTATCCTCAACTTTTGCCTGCCCACAGGCTCTCGATATATTCAACAACAAACACAATTTTCCAGTGGTTATGAAGGCAACGTGCCTTTTTCAGCATTCTGGTTATATTGTGCTTTGAGACAAATTTATGGCATAAATAGAGTTTAATTCACATACTACAGACATATTGCACACATGCTGAGCATAGAAGACTCACTGCCAAGGAACTTAACTCCAAATAAAATATACCAGTAACTGAGGAGGAAATCAAAGTGCTTGGCAGCAAGAGAACCTCCTCCAAATATTACAAACATATCTTGTAATAGTCAGCCAAGCAGAAGCATTCAAGCTCAGTTTCCAGTAAAGTTTCCCCCTCATGATCCTCTAGGCCTGCTAAAACCATTACATGCATCTACTGTTTGTCCTTCATGGATGTCCAACTGCACCCATGATGGGATGTGACAAAGTGAATAAAGTAGCTACTTGGACGCATTTTTTTTCAAAATGAGTCCACTATTTCCATTATGACATTCACGTGTTATCGAAAGATTCTCCGTCTTTCTATTCTCTGCAAGGTAATGTCGATTTCTTTACATGCTCTGACAGTAATAGTGAAAGTTAAAAAGAAAATCAAATGCCCTTTTTTAAAGATTTCTATACACCAGCCGTCATACCAGTGATGTGTGTTTGTTAAAACTGAAGGCGACCTCATAAAGAGTGACATTCATGTACTGATCCGAGTTAAAAACTAACACCATATAAACATTCAGAGCTATAAAGACACCCAATTTAGCTGAAAACCAAGGGCTTTCACTGGCAAAACTGGCATAGTATTGTGTGAATGGAAGCTTCTAGTAAACGAAAGAGCTGACAGAACTACTTGTGTATTGAGTAGTGCATAAGTGGAGGGTTTTTCAGTGAAGGGAAGACTAACTTAAGTCTAGTATGAGGCGTTTAGTTAAGGCAATTCCAGGTAAAGCTTTCCTTAGAGTAGCACCTTTGACAGTCATGATTAGCCAGTAAAAAGCCCTTGAGTGGTGTGGAAAGCCGCGCAGCTGTGTTGATGGTCCTAATGTGTCACAGCAGACTGAAACCCAGAATGTACTGCAGGAGTTTGTTTCTGTTGGCCTGAGGTAAGAAAGTGCTGCTCAGCTCCAGACGGCACACACCACCCTCTCGCCTCTCTTTGAGCACCTGTGAATCACAAAAAATCTGCTTATTTCAGTACTTGCACAGGGAGTTCTTTAGACAGAAAAAAGGACATTAGGCACATTAGTTCATATATGTGTGTCCGTGGGGGAGTGGTGGGTGGGATGAGTGTGTCTTTTTTGCACTCTTGATATTTTAGAGTGTCACCCCTTCATTGCTGTGCTGTGTGTACTTTTTTTTACTGCATAGTGAATGATTTGTAGATTGTACACACAAAACAATTATCTGTATTTTTGTGAATTTCCCATTCATTTCCAATGGTGGTCATTATGACTGAACAACATCAGAGGGTTAAGAGACGCACCAATGTTATTTTCATGTTATTATGACTAATAACCAATAAATGGCTGTTCTTAATATTATACTTTTTTTTGTTCAACTAGTTCTAAAAAAACCAAAAACCTCACTTTTAAATGCTAGAAGTGGTATTATACTATTATTTATTTACTATTATAGCATTTTTATGTATTATTTGTATTTTCAGTTTTTATTTTGATTTTAGTAATTTTGTTAAGTGCTTGTCATTTTTATCAGTTTTTTTTTAATAATATTTATATTGAGCCTTATTTTTATTCAGTATATTTTAGTAATTTTAGTACTTGATTTTAAACTTAATTCCAGTTAAAATTTCTAATTTTCCTCTCATATATATATTTTATTTTAGCTTTACTTATTATTTATTTATAGGAAAAAAAACATTCTTTCAGTTTTCATTTTCACTTGCAGTTTTGTTAAATATTAAAAACTAAAGAACACTGCACGTCTATAACTTTAAAAAACTGCCTAAAAAGGAAGTATGAAAACGCAGTCCATACAGTTTTTTTTCTGAGGTCATATGAACAGAATGAAATTTTAATTTGTTATTCAATGATAATCATTGATGATGCTTTGATGACTGCATTGATGATGCAAGAAGTGGAGGAAAAGAAACGTGCATTGTCACATTTTAACGTGAGGAAGTAACAAGGTTTGAATAAGTTGAAATTTGCGCCCACGTATAGGCTAATAATAATGCATCAATAGGTTAGACCTTTAAGCAAGCAAATGCCACAGGATGGCTCTCTCACCCCAAGCTCTTTAAATGTTTTCACTGTATTTTTTACGAGGTAGTGTGTGGCACTCTCTCCTAAAAAAAAAAAAAAAAATCAACAACAACAATCAGTGTCATCAATATCAATACATTCATTTATAGAACACCTTTCATACAAGATTATAATTTAAAGTGCTTAAACATTCACTGATATGATCTAACCATGAATGCGGGGCAAGAATGAGTGATGGCAAAATGCTTAAAAATAACATTCATTAAAAAAGTAAAGATGACAGCAGGGAAAGAGTGATCAAGGGGAATAATGAGTTTTGGGTTGTCTTCAAGGTGGGAGATGGAAAAACAATCAAAAATAGAAACAGAAAGTGCTGGTGGCTCACCATATGCAGCCACTCCTCTCTCTGTGCGAGTTAGCAGATATTTGAAAAGCTTCTGTGTGTACTCTCTCTCTGACATGGGCGATATCAGGCTGTGCAGAAAGATAGCTGCACCACTGTAGGCCTCCAGCACCGGAGTGAGAATCCTCTGAAGAAAAGTATAAAATTCCTGGGGCTCAGCTGATGGGCTCACCTAAAATAAAATAATAAAATAAAATAAGCACGTTAGGATTTAACAAAATGTAATGGCAATATTTCTTTTAAGATGTTTAATGTGGGGGTTTTGACATAGTGGGGAAACTCTGCATCAGCTTTTTAATGGGCTGCTGGATCATCATTCTACAAGGCCTTTTTGTTTTTTAAATAACCTGAATATAGACCACTTTCAGAAATTGTCATGCTTTTATATACTCGGTGTGAAAAATGGTTTCATTTTAGGCTAAATAGAACTTTTGTTCTATTTATAGATAGATGGATAGATAGATGGATAGATAGATAGATAGACAGACCTTCAGGTAACGGTCTCTTTGTTCATCTCCAAAGTCACTGTCTTCATCTTCTTCATCACTTCGCCAAGCAAGAGCCCCTGGAAACTTCTTGGGCCAAGGCTCCTCAGAAGGGCTCAACTCCTCCTGGTCCTCCTGAACACAAGAACACAAAGATGAATTTTTCAGTCAAATATTTCTCTATAATAATTACTATTGATTATTGTTAATTAATGTCTGACCTAAAAAATATTATTAATATTAGGCACAAATATTATTTGATGTGTAGTGTATTTTCCAATAAAGGAAAGGTAGCCTGAATCTATACTTTCACTCAGATTCAGAAAGACAATAATGAATTGGAAACTGAAATAATGAAATCATTTTCAGAAATCCACCTAAACCCAATCAGGTCATTAGAATAGGCCAATAGCAAAACATGAAGTCTCAAAGCAAACAGTTTCACACCTCAACGCTGAGGACTTTCCAGCAAATGACTTTCAATACGAATTCAGATCTCACAGCATCATTCAAACATTATTTGATCTGTGATGGCAATTTTTAAAATACTTTTTAAAAATAAGTATTGCAGCTTTAAATTAAAAAAGCTTAAGCAACAGGACAAATAAGAGTTGGCACAGCTTACCTCGGCTACAATGAGCACACCATACTCGATTAACCTGGTGACAGCATCATGGAAGACCTGGTACAAAGTCTGACAAGGCTATAGAGTAAAGACAACATAAATACACTTGAATGATTCACCTGGGTATTTCTTTGTTAAATTGAAACATTAACCAGTAAATATAAATAAACAAATATTTATTTATGGTTGTTTCTTTGTTTGTTAACTATTAGGACCCTTAATATTTTTGCATAGTGACATTATTTTCAGGACAATTAAGCACATTTTAATTATTACTGTTTCTCTTCACTGTGACATGAAGTATATATATATATATATATATAAATTTGTATTTATATGTACATACATAAACACAAGTAAAAATTTATAATACAACAGAAACACATTACAGTTGTAAGAATCAGAAAATAAAATGTCACAATGCAAAATATTCTAAGGCTCTCTAGTAGTGGATAACAAATTTCTGTTTCACTTTAAGAGATCAAACAGTTCGAAATCAGCTTAGTCAAGTTGTTCTAAAATATGGGTGGGGTAATCCCTGTACAGACAAATATGAAGAGCCATTCGGGATTACATTTTCAAAAAACACTTTGGCTCTGTTACAAAACAGTCTTTATTCCCGTAAAAACCACAGAAATGTAACAAATAAACTTATGCGACCCCCATTAAAATGTGGTTATGCACAAAGCAACACAGTATGATATACTAGTCTATATTAGTCTATAGTGCCAATATTAATTTTATTTGTACTACTGCGGTCAATAGGTAAAAAGTGATTCTTATAAAACTGTATTTTCTGCAAGCTTATTTAAAGATAAATTTAGATGTCTTTTCAAAAAAGGACACTTGGAGACTCCAAAAGGACATCAAAAAACCAAGTGATATAAGAAGTAGACTGAAGTACAGTAGACAAGTCAAGTTGCGATACCGAACAGGACCACATAGAGATGGCAAAAAAACCCTAAACCAACCACCTTGAGCTGATTGCTTAAACATACTACAGTACACGGATACATTCAGAACGACTAAACACAGCAACATACACTTGTCAAATCAAAACATTATCCTGAATGTGTGTGGAAACGCCATGAATGTACAGAAATGTGTCTGTGCATAAATACAATGTATGATCTATGCATCTAGAGCACTCATACACGGTTTGTTTGAGCATCAATATATTAAGGATGCTTCCTGTACGACACCGGTACGTCACCGCAATCATCTATACCTTGATTGCAATCCTCATCAATCAAAACTTTCCTAGCAAGAAGCTGGTTTGCTTTATCCAGCCGAGAAAACAGTTTACGTATCAGACAGCGGTAGGATGTTTTGACATCCTGTTCAGTCTGTATTTCACACAGCGCTACATGAGTTCTCGCACTCCTCAGAATGAATCACAGAATATGACTGGAATGAATAATTCAATGAAAACACAATGTGAGTCTCTATTCTCTCTGCCATCTCTGATGTAATCAGCCTGTTTTTTGTTTTTTTTTACATTAGCGCTGTTTGGATTGATTGATTGTTTGAATGCATTCACTTACTGGAACATTCGACTGAAAACTTTCCTGGAGTTTAGTGGCTTGAAATGATACGATTGCCTTTTGGTTTAATTGTGTTAAATTATTTTATTTTGAATTAAATCGCATTTCACCTAAATTGTCATTTTTTTATGTTGAAAAGTTTCAAAAGTTAAATGTCAAAAGTTTTGAGTCAGCATTTCAAAAGTTTTGCTTAACATTAGAGTCAACCACTAGATGGTGCCGCTGCTTGAGTGAGTGGTGTGAGGGCATACCACCGCTACTGCCACCTCATTGGACAGAAAGTGGGAGAGGCCTGCAGCTCTGCGGATCAGTCTCTCTTGGCTGAGCAGCTTAGATGAAGAATTCTGCTCACTCACTGAAGTTGCAGATTGCTCTCTCAGCAGGGCCAGTGCGCTGCAAGCTAGCACACATACATATACATAAAGTTACAGTACACATAGACTACAATTTGTAAATAATCTACCCAGCACTGATTATTTGTATTTGTAATATGTATTTATATTATCATCAGTCTTTGTAAAATTATGACTTGTGGCATATCAGATCTTTTACCTATAATGGCATCTGCAATGAAGACGTGGAAAAGGCCATTGCTGTAGAAATTGAGCTCAAAGAGTGCAGGTACAGTGTTGCTAGGAGCGATGATGAACTCTGTGTTTCTGTTGGTGCTGGTGACATTCACACAGTTTCCCAGAAGGCTAAGCGCATGCATGACCACATCCTCCGAATTCCCAGAAAAACCCAAGTCAAAGTCCCGTGACAAGATCTCTTCCTTCATATTGAAGAAATCCTCCACCAGTTTAGACAGCAGTACACCCTGTCCAATCAAAAACCAATAAAACTGGCTGAAGAAAGAAGGGCTGACATGGTGTATGCTGCATAGGAAGTGGGGACAGTGCTTACCTGTCTGTGCCGATACAGGAGGAGACAGGCCACGATGTGAGAGGACATGATTGCTGATGACTTGCTGGCGGCTATGGGAAACACAGAAGGCAGTGATCAGATTGATGAAAGTGGTTCAACTGAGCCAAACTGCAAGAGATGCCAAAAATTCTGATGCTCAAGGTGAAGTGTGTAATTTTTGATGTCAAAATACGGTCTTAATATGTAGAGACAAATATAAACAGCCATTTGGGAGTTGACTTTTCAGAAAAGTGTAAACACTGTGGCTCTGTTGCAAAAAGGTCCTCATTTACGTGATTTCCACAGAAAGTGCACACTACACCCTTAAATTCTCTGATGAAGGGAAATGAAAGGACACTATTTAAATTCATAACTGCATGATCTACAAACTTCATGACATTGTCTGTGAGCTAAAAATACATCTGAGAGTATCTGAAATATGCTGTATGAAGAAAAACAGAGTGACTTTGGAGCAGAAAAACGGGTTCAGTGTCTATATTAAACATTCACAAGCAAGGTGCAATTCCACCTCAGAGTGCCGATCCTCTGACCTCCTGTCCTCAAAAACGCAGCACCAACAGGGCATTCAAACACTGAGGAAAGTGACTGGCTAAAAGCAACACATCACCATGGTAAGGACTGTGACCAGCAGTAACCTATATAAACTGTCAGCTGTAGATAGAACGTGTCTGGAGCATATTTCACTAATAATAAATACACATTTTCTAAATATATTAAGCATAAAAACGATTAAAGAAAATGTCATTACCAATACTGAAATAATGATTAAATAAAAATTGTATTATATTTAAGCACAGTATTGTAATAATGGCAATGGAATAAAAAAAATTATACCTTTAAACTATTTATACATTTTACAGTATTTGAATAAAAAAAATAAAAGTGTCCTGACAGATTGATTCTCATTACTGCATTACAGTAATGAGAATACAACAGGAATCATTGAGAATAATGAAAATTACAAAAACTCAAAAGGAAATAATTAGAATTCTGGGGGAAATGTATATTGATTTTCATAAAAACTAATTTTTAAAAAAAAGTGTCCTGACAGATTGATTCTCATTACTGCATTACAGTAATGAGAATACAACAGGAATCATTGAGAATAATGAAAATTACAAAAACTCAAAAGGAAATAATTAGAATTCTGGGGGAAATGTATATTGATTTTCATAAAAACAATGCCACAATGCTCACAACAGGGTTTGTACGCATTTTACCAATACATTTCCATGACTTTTCCATAACTTTTGACACAATATTCATGACCTACCGTTCCATTATTTTACAAGTAAAGAAAAATCTATGTTCAAATTTATCATAGGATTTGTTAACTAAAATTAATGACTATTAATGCTACCTATTTGCTTTATATTTGTTTTAATAATAAGTACAAGCTACAACTGTGCCGGAGGTTACTCCACGCAGAGAGCATATCACATCACTGAATATTATAATTTATTTAACCAATATTATCAAATAAACTCAAGACCTGAATTTCATTTAGGAAACTGTTTAGGTCTAACAAGTAGTATTCAGGTACAGAAATATACAGAAATTAAACTGTGTTTATGAGGATACTCGCCAGGACGGGCATTTGACAATTTTGTGTGTATTTGGCAACTTAAGCGCAATAAGCAGCGGAAAAACAACTCAATTTATTACTCGTGAGGTGTTTTCGAGGCGGCTTTACGCGTGCGCGTTTTGAATATGACTATGAGCACGCAGAAAACCGTCTCTGGAGTGCGCGTCTACCGAATGCTTTAAAAAGACTTAAAAAGATGATGCAATTGCAAATTATAGCTTTGTGATGATGCAACACTGTGACATTTCTGTCAACTGTCCTGAAACCAGAGCGAAAGTCTCGTATCGCAGCAGCTCTCTTGTAGTGTAAGCGAGATGCGCTGATGTGAAGCCATTTTGAGAAAGTGAAAGAGCTGAATCACTCATGCGGTTTTCAAATAACTGATTTAATCTGACAGTCTGTGTTGATTCATTTACTCATCTAAGCTACATGCTATTTTGCATAAATGTGTGCAGAATTTCCCCATTTTAAACGCGAAACCTGCAGAAATGAGTAAAACTATATGCACAATACCTCACCGAAATTCAGGACCTGATTAAAAAATATATTGCACAGATTTGTGAAATAAATTTCCTTGACTTTTCCAAAACTTTCTGGGTTTATTCATTTTTCCAAAACTTTTCCAGGCCTGGAAATTGCCTTTTTAAAATTCCATTTCCAGGTTTATCATGACCGTACGAACCCTGTAACAATCCTAAAAAGTCCTAAAATATGATTTTCTTAAATCTATTTTGTTAAAAATATGAAATCCAGACATGTTTTTGTTAGGCTTTGTAAAATTCACTCACTAGTTGTTTGATGAGAGGCTTTGGTTTTCTTTGGCAATTATGATGTTAGAAAGAGACTTTCTGTATCTTTTTGATCTGAACAATGAGCCCATGTATTCAGATTTTTTTGTTTGTCAGTGATTCTGTAGGCCATGATATACAAGCAAGTTTTCCAGGCAAATGATAAATGAGCAGCACTGACAACTGCTGACCCCACATAAACAGCGATTTTACCCAATCCACCACCCTCAATGCTTGAAAAATCGCCCACTGCCTAAGAAACTCTTCATGTATCGTGGCCTTTTAAGTGCCCTTACTGAAGAGAACGTGCTTGGCCAGGTTAGCGATGACCTGCCTCCTCCAGGGCTCATCTGACAGGTCTCTAGAATTCAGATGCAGATCCTCATCTTCTCCATTAAAAACAGCCTGATCAGGTCTGCAAAGAAAAAACATAACTGAACATAATCCCATTAGCCATACACATCTTTCTACATACCAATAAACAGCAGTCCATATGATTATGTTGGTTGCTGGCAGCCTAAAGGCCGTACTGTGCAGCGATGATGGTGGGGAGAAGGATCTGCTCCAGCGTGAGAGAGGCCTGGAGATGGCGACTACGCTGTGTGTCCAGGTACTCCTAAAGAAATGGAGAAGAAAGATCCAGACATTAGGGGAGTGATCTGCTATGCACTCAGCCAAACTGAGATCAGAAGAGCTGCTCTGACCTTAAGGGAGAAGGGCTGTGTGAAATCCACACGCACACAGCCGTAATTCTTCCGGAGCATCCTGAACACGCCGCAGGCAATTCCCCACAGACTCTCATTCTTTTTAGGTTTGCCCTGAAGGGAGGAGAACAGCGAAGATAAAACGCAGAATAATAATAAAAAAGTGAACACAAACACAACCGTCTTAAGCTAAAAGGCGCATCATATGAAAACATCACGATTATATCAGTTATATTGGGACATTTAGATGAAAACACTACTTTCTACCAATTTTTTGATTATTTATAATACAATAACATTAGTAATAATAACAACAACTATTATTATTATTATGTATAAAATTCAACAAAGTAAAAAAAAAAACTGTGTTCCATAATTGTTTATGGAACATAGAACATAATTAATTATATAAAAGTTGCAACAAAAATAAAAATACCTTTCCATAATCTTTTATAGAACACAAAGCTTCTTTCAATTTTCATATAACAATTAATTATGATATAAAAACTGAAAAAAAAAAAATTTGTATGGGTCGAAGAGTCTGTTTTTGATTCAAGAAACTTTGAGTACCATTATGAGTGGACTTAATATCGGCTTTTTGTTGAATATCACCACAGTTAGACATACCAGCTGCTCGCTGTTGTAGTTTCCTTCTATAATGCGGTCATATGAGATGCCTACAGGCACGATCAGAACATCGGGGATGCTGTTGGCACAGAGTGTGTCAACCACGATTGAGAGCATGCCCGCATGTGCTGGAGATGGCTTCCCGCTGCGAGAGCGCGTGCCCTCTAAATACACCTCCAGAAACTGCTGCTGCCTCAACAATTCTTCTGTGTACTGAAATTGAGAGGAAAACAGAAAAATAACCCACAACGAATATTACAATCCTTAAGATCCATGACCCTTCCTTTGCAAATTCCCTCTAATTAAAGCAGCCCATTGTGGTAATGTGGTGCTCAACAGGAAACAGCATGAATAATGCAGGAGTAATCCATCAGCTTCCTGTGACAGACACCTCTAATCACAAGCCTCTCTACAGTCGCTGCAATGACAATCACCAGCGTTGGGGAAAGTTACTTTTAAAAGTAATGCATTACAATATTGCGTTACTCCATAAAAAAGTAACTAATTACGTTATTTAGTTACTTTTTATGGAGAGTAATTCATTACGTTACTTTTGTGTTACTTCTTAAATCTGGACAGGGCTTGTTTGTTTGTTTTTAAAATAAAAAAGTTCTATTTTTGGCAAATATAAAAGCCTTTTCACACCAAAAGTGAAATGAATAAGCCTCAGGCTGAAGGGAAAGTAAATTTACCTCTGTACAGTAGAATGCACAAGAAGAAATTTCAACACACTTCAATAAAAAAAGACACACAAATGTTTGTCTAGAGTAATTTTTGCTTATTAGTGTGGTTGAACTGGATCATCGAAAGTCAGAAGCAAAGACATTAGTTAATAGAATGGGATTTGAAAAAGTAACTATATTTGTGCTGTTTAACATTTAATTATTGCAGGTTTGCGTCATATTCTGAGCTGCATTATTTTTATTCATTTTGAGGAATACTGAATCTGTGTTTTTGTTT